GAAGATCGAGAGAAAGAAAAATGTGTATTTTCTGTCTCACCATTTGCATTGGTGCAAATGATCTCTGTGTTATCACACTATAGACTAGGCAACAAACGTCAGTATCTAAATTCCCTGTCCGATCTCAGCACTCTTCTCCGTTATGATAATGGAATATACGTACCATATAAACACAGAGCTTTATCCTGGTATATGCTTGGAGTCTGTCAGCAAACTGTAGGGGACTATCACGGGGCATTAGAAACTTACCAAGAGGTACTAAGACAAGAACCAGATTACATAATAAAGACAGCAGTAAAAAAGAGAATAGAATGCATACAGCAGCAACAGGGTATATTCTAATTTCTCTGTTACATTTGTTCTCCTTTTTAACACAAGACTATGTAAATGTTAAGATTGCGTTTTACTCAAATGTTATTGGTACATGTAATACTCACAAGGACATGTACAGACTTTTGAACCGTATACTTTAGTTTAACTATTTTTAGTTGTGAATGTATTGCATTTATAAATGGTGTAATGAATATTCTATAATTCATTTATTATAAAAATGAAAATAAACTTGAAATAATATTGACTTGGATTTGCTTAATTGTAAAGAAAAATTAAACTTTTTTAAAAGAAAAAATATGTTTAATCTTTTTATTTTATAACTCTTCATTTCAATGAATTAATTAAATTTCAGCAAGAGACTAGAGAGAATTAATTTTATAAATATCGTAAACAAATAACAACCCAATAGTAAACTTTCTTAATCATGAAGTTAAAGAACAGGTCATGAAATCTGAAAATCAATAGAAGCTTTCCTTTATTTCAATCAACTCATCTTTACTGCATTTCGCTGCTTTCTTCATCAATCACTCTCTCAATTAGGAAAACGGTTTGTTTGTTTTCTGTTCAAAAAACAGTTGAAAACTATATTGTTAATCTGCCGGCCGCTACTTATTATTTGGCGGCCGCCACATATATCTGGCGGCCGCCACTTATGTAATACGGAAGCCCGTTGACGCCACGTATGAAAAATATTTTATCTGGCGGCCGCCACATATATATCTACCGGTCGCTACTTATTATTTGGCGGCCCCCACTTATGTATCTGGCGGCCGCCACTTAATATCTGGCGGCCGCCATTTATTATTTGGCGGCCGACACATAAATTATTTTGCAAAAGGTGAGTGTTATTGGGTTAAGAAGATGGATGTTGACACAACCGCTGCTTATTGATAAAAAAGTAAATGATAAAAAACGAATTCTGAAATATTGGAACACCATTCTTGGAAATCCAAAATTCAAAACTTCATTTAATTCTCAACCAATCACAGCTTACAGCAAACACCATGATTTTTGTCCGTGACCCCTGATGAGGCTTCTTAATAATCGAAACACTCTACAAATACTTGCATAATTCAAATCAAATATTAATCTGCTCTATGCAAAAACATATCTATTAGAAGTGTGGATTAGAGTGTTGGTTCATAAGAAATCTCTTACAAGTTTGGTTGATTGATGTTGCTATTATAATTTTTACACTGTATCCACCTCTTAAACCACACATTAAAACATGCGCGCGATTCAGGAAGCCAGGTGTTATCTGGCGGCCGCCAAATATTATGTAGCGGCCGCCAGATATATAAGTCGCGGCCGCCAGATAAATATTTGGCGGCCGCCAGATAAATCATGTGGCGGCCGCCAGATGTTATATAGCGGCCGACAGATATTATATAGCGGCCGCCAGAAAAATATGTGGCGGCCGCCAGATATTATATAGCGGCCACCAGAAAAATATGTGGCGGCCGCCAGATATACAAGTGGCGGCCGCCAGAATAAATATTTTTCGTGCGTGGCACCAAAGGGCTTCCGTATTAAAATGATCACTACAGTAAAGTAAAAGTTACTATGATTTGCTATGCGAGAATCGTTCAATAAGGAAGACAACATTCTAATAATGCAATTGCAAAACACATTTTGATTGGCTAATGCACTGATGTTTGAAGCAGTAAAACTAGCATTAACGAGCGTGAAAGATTTTTCATTGTGACGTCATAATAGAGCGACGCAAAAACACAATGCCCCATGACGTTTTTCATGAAATTCAACAGAATAAGACGTAAACAACAAACAAAATACACGGATTGCATTAGAATGGGAATAACTTATCTTCTAATTTGATATTTGCGACCGTTAATGCTGATTTAACGGTCCCAAACATCCGTTTTACCGGCTCCGCTTACGCGTCACCGGTAAAACTCAGTTTGCGACCGTTAAATCATCATTAACGATCGCAAATACCAATTAGAAGATAATTATTCCTTGATTACAGTTTTTAATAATATATTGAGTTGCGTTAAGCGAAAAGGGATCTTCGTGGCATAAACGTTATTACGTCACAATAGCGCTTCAAAGACGTGACGTCTCCTCGATGCTGTTACCGATGAAAAAATTATTATTTGCATAATACATATTTTTAAAAAAAAATTTAACTGTTTTGAAAAACAAATGTTCAATGTGGTCAATTTATTAATAGGTTTACTGGTTATCAAAATAATATAAAACTTATTTAATTTTTGATTGTTTATTAATGGTTTTATTCGTGAGTTGTCGAAAATGTTCATCAACAAATCAATGTGCGTGTCTACCTCATTAAGCTCTAAATACAATTTCTTCTTTGGCCTTTCCGGCTGAACGCCAGTCTTTACAGATAAGCAAGTGGTCCCCAGCATTTATTTTATTTTTTTTAATTTTTTTTTTTTGGGGGGGGGGAGGGGGGAGAGAATTACATGTTTCACATTCCAGATTGTTTTTCCATTAGATAGAAAGACCCGAGAATTGGCGACTTAGTGCCCAAAGTTTGTCCACAGACATATAATCCCTCTATTATACATCTCTGGATATTCGAATCAGTTCACTTATTCTAGAATAGTTGAATAGCACTTTGTCGATTCATATTAGAGAAAAAATATGAATGTTACAGATAACAACCTTTGTCTGTAGCCATGTCATAAGGGATAAAGCGGCGAAAGCCACACGGACTTCCATATTTACTTATTAACACGTCACATTTGGCGCAACACTCTGAGGATTGAAAATTTAACTGCATGACGCAATAATGTGTAAAGATATTAAACAATGATCATTTTCAAAACTAATTTGAGGTTTTCCTTTTATTGCCTAAATCAAATGCAATAAATTAAAACTAAACACGGTAACTTTAGGTATACCTGATGGTGTTAAAGTCGAATATTAAAAGCGAAATATTGAATCAGACGTATGTAGGTCATTAGTTTTATTTTCTGATAACTAATCTTATATCAGGCAAAAAAAGTAGTTCCTGCATAAAGATATAAGCACATCTTGAATTTATAATCTTACATACGTATGTAATGTTGTAATTATATTGTTTGAATACCCCCTTTTTTTGGGGGGGGAGGGGGATGCTCGTTTTTATTACTACGGAAAAGAAAGCCTTTCAAGGACAAATTCCGATTTTTTTTTTCTTTATTCCTCTCTTAATTTTTTAAAATCAATTTATTTTTCGTTTCGTTTCGATTTTGCTTGTTCATTTTCGTTTTTTTCATATTTAATTTACAACTACTTTCTTTTTAGTTCGTCCATAACCACATTGAAAACACTGGTGCACACACCATATCTCCAACCCCACACCTCCTTCTAAAATCATCGCTCATATATTTGGTCAATGAATGAAGTACCGGATCATTGTTTTGAAATTCGCATCATCCGTAAAGTTTTGTAGATTTTTTTTTTCAAAACTCGATAGTTCCGTATTCTTTCTCAATTATAGATAATATTTGCAGAGTATCATGATAATTTTAAATAGGAAGCTGTGCGCCCCCTTCGTTAGTTATGCCAAAGACCTATCTCAATTTACACAGCGACTGTAAAATCTGTAAAATCAATGCTTATATTTACGAACTCTTATTTTTGTGAACTCTTAATAGTTTTGTATGTACATGTAGACTCCTTTTTTATCTCTGTAAAAACCTTCTTATAGAGCCTTTACCCACAAATGAAGTATGTTGCTTTCTAAATCTGTTTACTGCATACGGTTTTTTTTTTTTAAATCAGGAATAAAAGATATTTTGACATTTTTTTAAAAAAAAGAATTACCCACCCTATCGTAGCCTGACAAAAGAAATAAAACCTAGGATTTATTTTAATTTTAACTACGTTTTGTGAATAATATCCTTTAATCATCATTAATTTGTGACTATTTCTTTATTTATATTTCTTTCTTTATTTTTTTTTTTTGGAGGGGGGGGGGGGGGTATTGCGAACACATATCACTCGGAGCTTCTTGGATGTATACATGTTTGAATGGAGTGCATATGTATAGCGGAATAAGCCGAGGATTACCGACCGTGCACATTATGCATAATGAGATCTATCTATCTGCAAGAAGTAAATAATCATAGGCGTCGGAACGGGGGGAGGCCTAGGGCCTAGCCCCCCCCCCCACCACTTTTTTTTCCAAATACATACATAAGGTCAACAGATGATAGCGAGTTGTCATTCAATCATTTTTGAAGCTAGATCTCATCCGATACCGGTAGGAAAAATGTAGATATAGACGAAAATTAAATGTGAACCGAGGCACCCCCTGATTTTCAATATGGCGAGCGGCGCTCCTTTACTCTTTTTATATACAGTATATATGACATTTTTAAAACGTGCTAATTTCGGCGAATTTGTATTTTTATTTTGATGAGGGTATTCAGACACACCTAGAAAAACACATAACACACAAAATATAGCATCCTGTAATCAAGCGCCTATGGCTAGACACAGCAAGTGTAAACAAAGTGTTTAACAAACGACCACACCGACATCACTCGAAACCAGTAAAGCAACGAAACCATGTCTCGAAACCAAAACACAAAGGACAGTGTTGGAATTGCGGTGGACCTTTTCCACACTCGGACCGTCCATGTCCAGCAAAAGGACAAAAGTGTCACGACTGTCATAAAGTAGGACACTCCAGAAAAATGTGTCGCAATAAGAAACCTCAGAAAGTGAGATTAGTCAACAAAGAGGACAATAACCAAGACTATAGTGACAGTGATTCTGATGGTTATTGTTATGGAGTTAAACTCACTGGATGCACAGAGAGTATCAACACGGTGCGAGGTTCTTATGTTACAGTGAACTTGAACGACAAGAAACTTAAACTGTTAGCTGACAGTGGATCCTCTGTGAACATTCTAGATGAGACAGATTATGAGAAGATCGGGAAACCAGCCTTACACAAAGGAAAAACGCATGGAAAATCAGTTCCGTATGGTGTAAAGGACACAATTAAAGTGCTCGGTACATCTGATGTTAAGATGTGATGTTAAGATTGAAGCTCCACAGAATTTTACTGTGTGTACATTCTATGTAGTGAAGGGGAGAGGAGGATCCCTACTAGGATACCCTACTTCGAGTGAAATGAACATTATTAAAGTGATCAACAAAGTCGAAACACTTGAAAGTACTATTGAGAATGACTTTCCTCATCTGTTCAGAGGAATAGGTAAATTCCGAGGACAGCAAGTGAAGATTTATATTGATGAATCAGTACCTCCCGTAGCACAGAAACCGCGGAGGACTCCATTTAATCTACGCAGTAAAGTTTCGAAAAAGAGATTCAACATCTACTAGACACAGACATTATCGAAAATGTTGAAGGCGAACCAACCCCATGGATCTCCCCCATAGTAACTCCGCCCAAAAAGAATGGTGAAGATATACGCCTCTGCATTGACATGAGAGAGCCAAACAAAGCTGTCCGCAGAGAGAGACATACTATGCCCACAATCGAAGAATTGATTTTGGACTTGAATGGGGCAAAAGTTTTCAGCAAACTTGATCTCCACAGCGGATATCATCAACTAGAGCTTCACCCTGATTCTCGATTCATTACTACCTTCAGTACACACCTTGGCATTTACCGATATAAGCGTTTAAATATCGGGATATCTTCAGCATCAGAAATATTTCATGAGACAATCCGACAAGTTATTCAGGACATCCCAGGTGTGAGAAACATTTCTGATGACATAGTGATATTCGGCACAGATCTCCAGCAGCATGGCAGAGCTCTTCAGAAAGTCTTACAGCGACTCTCCGATAGTGGACTTACCCTTAACCAGAAGAAGTGTGAGTTCCGAACGAAACGGATTTCCTTCTTTGGTATTGTATTCTCGGATAAAGGCATATTCCCAGATCCAGGGAAAGTAAAGGCTGTTAAGGAGTTCAGTCGACCTGAAAATGTCAAGAAACTAAGGAGTTTCCTGGGAATGACAAACTACAGCTCACGCTTTATCAAAGACTATGCCGATATATGTCAACCCTTAATAAAACTTCCTCATAATAACATTCAGTGGCACTGGAGTCCAAAGTGTGAGGAAGCTTTCTGTAAGCTGAAGGACAGTCTGTGTGGAGAGACTGTTATTTCGTATTATGACCCTTCAAAACCAGTAAATGTGAGAGTTGATGCTAGCCCAGTTGGGTTAGGCGCCATCCTTTTACAAGAGGACAACAAAGTTGTCTGCTACGCAAGCAGAGCTTTAACCCCTGTTGACTCAAATACAGCCAAACCGAGAGGGAAGCCCTAGCAGTTACTTTAGCGTCTGAACACTTTGACCTTTACCTGAGAGGCTTGCATAACTTTACCATAAATCATTGACCACAAGCCTCTAGAGACCATTTGGAAAAAGCCGCGACCACCACTCCGCATCGAGAGGTGGGGACTTCGTTTACAACCGTACAAGTTCACAATAAAATATTCACCTGGAAAGGATAATATGACAGACTATGTTTCAAGACACCCTGTTCAGCCAGCAACAGATGTGAGAGATTTGTCAGAAGAGTATGTGAACTTCATTGCCCTGGAATCTTTGCCACGGGCAATAGAACTAGGTGATGTGAAATGAGCCACACTAAATGACATTACTTTACAGAACGCCATTGGGTTTACTAGAAATGGTGACTGGTACAAGATGAAGAGCCTGAAACAGGACGAAGCAGATCTCGAGGAACTGACAGCAATCAGCTCAGTGCGAGACGAACTTACTGTTCACAGTGATAACATTCTGCGACGTGACACACGCATTATCTTACCAAAAGCCCTTCGTGACAGGGCTAGAGACATTGCACATGAGGGTCATCAGGGGATGGCAAGAACAAAAACTTTTCTTAGGTCAAAAGCATGGTTTCCTGGCATGGATGGGAGAGTTGAAAACCGTGTCACAAACTGCTCAGCCTGTCAACTCCTTACTCCTGAACGTCATACCATGGAGCCGTTGAAAATGTCGGAACTACCTGGTGGACCTTGGGAGAATTTGAATATCGACTTCTGCGGACCATTACCCAGTGGATACTATTTATCTGTGATAATTGACGAGTATTCACGTTACCCAGTAGTTGAGATTGTAAAATCCGTCTCTGCTAAGTCCGTCATACCTGTATTGGACAAAGTTATCAGTGCATATGGGATACCCAAGATAATAAAGAGTGACAATGGAAGCCCATTCCAATCATACGAATTCAGAAGATATGCAGAACATATGGGGTTTATCCATCGGAGGATAACGCCACGATGGCCCAGAGCCAATGCTCAAGCTGAAAGTTTTAATAAGCCGTCGATGAAAGCTGTGCGCTCCGCTCATATTGAGGGACTTAACTGGCGGCAAGAGTTGTATCGCTTTCTCAGACAATATCGTGCCACGCCACACTCATCTACTTGACGTACACCTTTCATGTTACTGTTCAATCGGGATCCGAGGACAAGGTAACCAGTAACCACTCGCAGAGATTCGACTCCTAACGACTTTCAAGTTAGAGAGAAAGATAGCAAGAAGAAATTTGACATGAGAAGTTATGCGGACAAGCGGAATCGAGCAAAGGAACGGGACATTAGTGTAGGGGATTCCGTCATGATGAAAAATGAAAAACGTGGTAAGATGCAGCCATACTTTTCATATGAGCCAAAAACCGTTACGGAAAAGAAAGGATCCATGATCACCGTGGACAGGGAAGTAACATGCAACATGTCACAGTTCAAGAAAATCAATTCAGCAGTGAATGAAGAGTTGAAGAACAGAGCAAGGATGCAGGAGAATAATCGTGAGGAAATCGAGTTAGAGATACACAGTCCTAAAGCGGATTTAGAAGATAGAGTTATGAAACAGTGCAAGACAAGTCCATCCGTGAAGAACACATCTCAGAAACCTGTCGTGCAACCTTCCAGGCGAAGCCAAAGATCGAAACAGCCTCCTGTAAATCTTAAAGATTTTGCGTTAAACTGACATTATGTTAAGTTATGGCCATGCTGTGAAAAGGGGCACAGTAATCCCCAGCAGGTCACTGGACTACGAAGTCCTTACTGTTTTATTTCTATATTCCTAAGCATGTAATGATTGCAAAAGACATTTGTCTATCATAAGTTCAATGTTTAGATATAAACTGCTTAATCTTGATTAGTGACACATGAAATATTAACTGTTTAAAACTGATCATAATTTTGGATGTTTTGGAATTTTTATTTTGTACCAACCATCTAAAGAGGGGAGGAATGTAGTATCCGGAATTATAATGTCCTATCATGGTTCTATTATTAGTTTATGTACCGGAAGCGTACAGTGAATAAATGATGTAAACAGCACATGGTTGTCGTGTCTGGAATGTATCTAGAAAACATCGGTCATCCTCACTAATCTATAACAATAGATCTAATAGATTTTAGAAGAGGCACTCTTGATCATCATTACTATGTACTTAGTTAGTTTTTTTTAATATCTAGGAGCAGAGAAGAAGATTTTCAAAGAATTAATGCATTTTCACTATATAATCAATAGAGCCCCACCCTAACACCAGAATCCCTGACCTTGGGGCCATGTATTTCACAATTTTAGAAGAGGTACTCTTGCTCATCATTGCTATGTACTTAGTTAGTTTATTTAATACCCAGGAGCAGAGGAGAAGATTTTCAAAGAAATAATGCATTTTCACAATATAATCAATAGAGCCCCGCCCTTGCACAAGAACCCCCGACCCTGGGGCCATGAATTTCACAATTTTGGTAGAGGACTCAATTGCCATCATAACTATGTACTTACTTAGTTTATATAATACCAAGGAGCAGAGATAAGATGATCAAAGAAATAATGCATTTTCACTATATAATCTATATAGCCCCGCCCTAGCACCAGAACCTCTGACCCTGGGGCCATGAATTTCACAATTTTAGTATAAGACTCAATGGTCATTACATTCATGCTAACAGTTTGCCTGCTCGATGTCCAGGAGTAAAGAAGAAGATTTTTAAAGATTTCATTAATTTTAGTTGTTTTGGCCCCACCCCTCAGGCCCCAGAGGGGCAGGGACCATGAAATTCAATTTTTATTCCCCTTCATCCATAGATGCTGTACACCAAATATGGTTGAAATTGGTTGAGTAGTTGCAGAGAAGAAGCTGAAAGTGTTCAAATGTTAACACACGACACACGAGAGACGAAAACGGATAGCAATACGTCATCTGAGTGACTCAGGTGACCTAAAAATACGGGAAAATACACATGTTTATGACATTGTAATTAGCATTTAAAAACAAATGTGAGAAACAATGACTTGTATAATTTTTCTGCATTGAATTTCAATTATATAAAAAGCATGAGTTTTCAAAAATTTGTGTGACAGCCATGCCTTCTTTTTTGTATTCGTGCTTTGGACTTCCAAGCTTAATACAGTTCGTTATCTTAAGCTCCATTTTTCATTTCTATAAATTTCCACCAGAAACTGTTTGAAAATATTAACCATGATACAATGAGTGTATACAATTGTAATATAACAAAAATATAAAATATAATATTAATACAAACTAAGCTGAACACATATTACAGTTTTCGGGAAAAGCTTTTTTTCTGTTTCTAATGCCCTTTTTTTTTGCAAATAAATGTTCTTTTTTCAAATTTAAGACCGAATGATGTATCCAAAATAAAATTTCTTACATATTTTTGATATTTTAATATTATGAAATTGATATTATGAGATAATACTTTTCATTTCTTTTCACAACTGTTTATAATAAATGATTAAAAGATATAAAGATTCAGATCAAACAGAGAATCATTTTTTTTTTTAACAAAACGTGTGTACATCCTTTTCTGCTGTATTTTGAATTGAACTGGACTAGCACTTATTCCAATCAATGAATCAAAATATATCTTCGGAAGCCTAAATGATAAGGATCTCAAGTCTTAGAATTGGTCAAATTACATTGTTATTCAAAGAAATTATTGCCTTCTAAGCTTGAGAAAGTATCCGTTTTAAAAAAAAATATATGAACAAAATATCAAACATTTTATCTAATCTTTTGAAATAGAGCGTTGTAAATAATTGTCAACAGCAAACGACAATTTAATTACATGTACCTGGACGATATATTGGTCTTGAACCAAGACGGACAAAGTTCAAACTAATTGATTCAAATCTTTGAAAAAATGATACATTAAAAATGAAAAGGATCCCCTTTACATTAGTTTTTTTCTTTGTTTCCATTCTAGACGAAGGACCATGCTGCAATCATCGGAATCCTATATCGTGCTGTCTAGTTTGTTGTTTATGCCCTTGCTGTGGTGGACCGTTCCCTGGCTAGTGTGACAAGACGGAAATAATTGACTATTCATACCACCTTGAAGAAGTTCTAAGATTAAATTCTAACATACTATGAAAAAACAATAGGTTCGGCACTTTTATTTTATAATAAATTATAAAATATCCCCGTAAATGTTTTTTTATTTCAAGTTGAAAATATTAAGTAGTTAAAATGATTTCTTTAAATTTCTGGCAAAATGAAAATTTCAAACATGAAAATGAAAATTAGCAACATACATACTGTACATAAAAACAATCTATGCAATCCAATTCATTGAATAAAATATTTAACTAAAAATCACTTTTAGTTATCTCTCTTTTCAAATGAAAGATATGGAGATAATGAACAATGTTCAATATCAAAGTCCATGAAACAATGCAAAATAGGAGCAGAGCAAACATGGACCTCCAAAACATCAGAGGTGGGATCAGGTGCCAAACAGTAATGAGTTGACCGGTCACACCCGCCGTGTGCTCCTTGTCATGATCATCAAATAACGGATAAATCCGTCGACAATTCGCTGTATAAATAATGGATTTACAAGTAGTATGAAAAACGGCATTTGACGTAATGATAAATTGTATTTGCTGACAAAGTCATTGTATCGAGCATACAATTTACAAATTGATAATGATTCATATGTAGCAGAATCACATGCTGGAAAAGAAGGAAACACACTTGTTAATTGTGGCCTTTAACTCGACATTGTGACACGATAGCGGTGTTTTTCTTTGAAGTTTACTGTTCTGTATTAGCAATACAGAACGGGACTGTGGTGGGCGGAGCTACTTTCCGTTCTGTATTAGCCCTGTATACAGTATTGTATTTGCCAACTATTCTGTATCTAAAATACAGCACGGTCTAAAAATAAATCTGATTCAATTTAGCAAAATCACGTACAAATAGTAAATGCTGATGTTTTCCTATTATAAATTTTGGGAAATAGCCGGTATTTTCCTGAGAATGTAAAATGTCAAAATTTCTCAATAACTTTTTAAAAACTTATTCCACACAGAATCTATACGTAATTTCGATCCAAACTAAAAGGAAAATTCACAGTTACGGAAAACATCCACTCTCCCCATGCAAAATCATTCAGGTCCCTGTGTCCGCGTTTTTTATTTTTTAAAATCCTTCTCGCTGACGACAGCCACACGTCTCTTACACTTCGTTTTTAATGTCGCAATTCAATTTGAAAATAAAAATCCATGACATCAAAGTCCATCAAAGAATTTTCTGTAAATCCTGTTTTCGTAAATCTAGTTAAACCGGAATTTTAATACCCCTGAAATATATTATTATAAATCTCCATCTACAATAGATCAAAACAATGACGGTTAAATCATCCAATTAATACATTACGACTGACTATCACTCGATTACGTCTACCCTGTTAAACTGTCAAAACTATTCTGACCAAATTTTACGTTTTCCGTGGAAATATATATACTGCGAATGCGTACTCCCCGTCGGGGTCTCATCTACAGAACTCTAGCGGAAGTTTGGATGCTGCAAAGTTATAATGTGGGCGGAGCTATTTTTGATTGATCGCGTCACAAATCATTTAGAGAACTCGACAGGTTCTGTATCGTAGATACAAATTTGGGGGTGGAGACTCGTGCTAACGCACTCGTCCAACCCCAAATTTGTATCTACGATACAGAACCCGTCTCGTTCTCTAAATAATACTTTAGATATGTAAGACATTTAGATATATCGACGTCGTGTTGTCAATTAACAATTGTAATTTTCATTCTTATCTCGATAAGCTATATCCTCGTGAGCTTGAGATAAATGAAACAACAGAATTTGATACATCTGTTTCACATTTTGATATTTAATTAACAAAAAATAAGAACTAAACTCGCCCAAACGACAAAAACCTAAGTCGTAGGGGTGTGTAGTTTATGACCTCTATTGCTTCAAATCTTTCACTTTCATACCCATTTCACACATATTTGCGTTTACCATGGGGTGTTTTTCCAAGAGGAGGGGGGGGGGGGGCGGCTATGGTTACCTTTTCTTGCTTTAGTATATACATTTTTATCATGTAAAATCCAAGGGGGCTTAAATCGAGTCGACATATAAATGC